TTTTATTTATTTATTTATTTGAGAGAGACAGAGAGAGTATACTTTATTCTAATTCCTTGTGTATGTCTCTTGTATGTAACAGCATTGCTTCTCTAGCTGAAATATTTAGCCTTCTAGTCACACGAGACTTCAGTAACCAAGAATGTACCATAGTGCTCCTGCAGATTAGTTCATTAACCAGGTATTGATAGCAAAATAGGGTGAAAAAGTAAGACCAAGATGAAAAAAGAGACCAGGAAAACTATAATTTTAAAAATGGAAACTACAGCTTCAGCACACAAGCCTAGTTCTATTATTTTTCTCTTTTGCCAAAGCACAATAAGTCTGAAAATTTGTTTTCACCTATAAATGAATGGTTAAGCTATTCTCTTTTTACTTGCAAAGTCTTCTTTCACCTGTGAATAGACCATCATTTTCACCTACAAATTAGGACCTCACCGACAAATGCATCATTGCCTTGCTTTGGATAGGCCCTTCTCTCTCAGCCACTAGACAAGAGGAAGAGTATAGATTGTCCCATTCTACCTATTTTTGCCACATACAGTTTTCCAGTTACAAACTGCAGTGTGACTCACTTGTCAGAGCACCTGCACTCCACTCTTGAATGTGTCCTAAAATCTCTGCCTAATGAACACGCCTGTGACTCTTACTGATATATTCTGAAAATATTTTTCTACAGTATAAGTCAGCAAATCTGAAAACTTATTCTAAAAAAGTGTTTTAAATTCCTTATTTCAGCCTTGGGGATCTTTTTAGACCTAATGAGGTGACAAAGGATTACATTTGAGTCACCCTCTTGTGGTTTTACATTGCCATTTAGCCCTCATTTTCCCTGATAGCATTACATGCCTGTTTCTGACAGTAGTTGTATAAGATACATTAAGTTTGGCCAGAAAATTACAATAACTGAAGTGGAAGGATGAAGTCCAATATGTTTACTATCCTCACCATAGCTTAATGTTTTCTCATATTTAGAGATATTCTGGACATTCTAACACAGCCTCATGAGTAGAGGTTAACTTGACATGTAGAAGAACACTTAAGCCGCAAATGGCAAATGGTTCTTTCTGCTACATTTAAAAAAAATCTACACTAGAAATAAAAATCAAAGGAAAATATAGATAGCAAGAAATAGTGATAGGTTGCTTTTGCAAAAGGGGACAAGAGATGGAAGGAAGGGATAAGGAGAAGGGAAGGGGATTAAAAAAAGAACTAAAATGTGTTATGTACATGTACATACTCCACACAAGGAATGTCATCATTATGTGCTGCAAACATACTAATAAAATTACCAATTAAAATAAGTGAATTCAGGGAAAGATAATGTACTAGTTTTCACAGTAAACTAATATCTCTCAGTGCCAATCAATCATGTGTCACATTCCTTCATAAACTTTTTTTGCTGCAACTTAACATGAGTTCCTTTTCTGGGTCCTCAGAGGGAATGGAGATGAGACCCTGTTTTTAACTCAGACTGCTAGTAAATTACTTTTAGCCTTTTCCCCTACAAAATGAGTTGTCCCTCACTGTAAGTCTCCATTACCAAGCTTTAATCATTCTTTTTCTCTTTTTTTTGCTCTCACATGTACCTACTCATAGGTGGATACTGGTACTTGGTATCAATATAAACTGAAAGCACTGTCCTTATATTTTTCTTAGAAAAGAAAAATAAAACACCTCTTCTACCCAATCTCTCCCACAATTCTCAGGGAAAGAAAACAACACAAATTTTTGTTCCCACTGGAGGGTATCAGCTATAGGTAAAAGAAATAGTAAGTTAAACATCAAAATAAGAAAGTAGGCATAAAATTAATCACTAAATTACAGCTGATGAGAAAAACATGGCTGCAAAAAGGACTTGTTTAGGACAGGTCTGTGACAAGCTTTATTGGCACCAGGGCTAGAAAATGAATGTGAACAGGCTTTTCTGCTCATGCCTCACATGAGCATTGCCTCCTTCTGAGTTCTGTTACAGATTCATCTCACTCACTGCTCAGACTTCTCTAGGAAATGATCAACAGAGGTAGACATCCAAGGCTGATTCAAAAATACAGCATGTGTTTAAATTTTAACAACTGTTTACAGTAAAAGAGATAATGCTTTTAATATCCTCAATGTACTCTCCCTTGCTTTGAACACATTTATCCTATCATTTTGCCACTTTCTGAAGCATTTCTGTATCTTCTCTTTTGTGAGTCTTTACAAGGTGCCATAAAATTATGGGGAAAGCTACTTCAAGTGGCCTCCCACAGAAAGCCAGAGTTGTAAACATGCTATAATGTGTTCTCATACACCTTATTCACTGGATCTAGTATCATATAAACCCTGTCTCTTTTAAAAAGTCAAAAAGACCATAAAAGATATACCTTTTATTTCTATTCTGGACATCAAGGCAGCCACAACAGTACAAGTAAAGATAATGATGAAAGAGGACTTCCAGAACTCCTTCAGAGAGTGTCAAGAATGATGGGGGAAATGAGTGCAAAGCGGGGGCTAGGGGAGAGTTGGGGAGTGATTAATGGCAATGTGGCATTTACTATAATAAAACATTTTAGTAAGCATTCACTTTTTTTTCAAATACATGTCATGTTTCTGATATGCAAATAGGCTCCTGCTCCAGTCAAATGCATTTGATCAATACTCTTTTATCGAGCTAGTTATATGAGAAACATAACCTTTCTAGATCATTCTGTTCTAGACATAGCCTCACAAAAATCTATTATGTCACAAATGTTTCTCTCTACATTTTCTGACACCTGGGTCCATTAGAATTTTTTCCTTCTCAGTATATTTCCACCATAGAAGTTGATCAAGTCCCCCTGTGCCTGAAATCATTTCATGAGGTACTCAGTGAAAAGGTTTTATTATCTACTTGTATCTTGGTGATTCTAATAAGACCTGATTTTTGACCTCAGCTTTTAAGTTTGTTAAAATTTCCTCTGGACCATTTCTCACCTTCCTTCTTTGTGTCTGTGTTAGACTAGAAAAACTAGTTGTGTTGGGTTAGTTACATTAATTATTTATTCATTTACCTGCATTTTATCATCTTGAAATAGAGACACTCAGTGAAATAAGTGCTTGCCTGGCAAGTGCAAGGTCCTGAGTTCAATCCGTGGTACCACCAAAAAAAAAAAAAAAATGAGGCAGGATGGCCAAAGAATATCAACTGGCAATCAAAAAATCTAGAAAGTTAACCCTCAGTAATAGATTTAGGCTTGCAGAGATAGAGAGGACTTATATGAAGAAACTCCACATCAAATCCCATGATACTCTTTTTCTTTCAAGATTAGAAAGAAAGTGAACAATTCCCTCAAATTTCATGTGAGCATTTTCTCCTTATCACTAATGCTGCTTACTGAATTGCCATGTGTATTATGCTTTGTCAACTAGAAATTTTCAGCTCAGTTTTTACTCTGGTTTCACAGGGGAAGTTGGCTGTTATCTTCAGTGATCAACTGGTTGTCTAGGAGTCTTAATTTATACCTTCAGTTGGTTAGAAACTTCAAGCTGCACTGCAAAGCATGATTAAGCCTTAGCAATGGTGGACCAAGTAGTCATATGTTCTCTAATATATTTAGAACATAGTCCCAACCCTGTAGTTGTGCCTTTTTGTGCCTTTTACCTCATGGACTAGGTCAGAAGTAAACTTCCACTCTAGGCATTCATTGAGTGCACCTGGCCAGTGTGGGAAGTGGCACAGGTGAACTTAGATCAACCCCCATCCTATGTACTTGAAAGAGGAGAAACTTCTAAGGAGAATTTCAGAGGACTTAAGAGGTACCCTGGCTTATTAAAAGTAGTTCTCAAATTGAGCATTCTAAGCCTGCATCAGCATCATCCTAGAAACAGTATTGTCTTGGGGGCTGGGGAAATGTCTCAGTAGAATAAGCACTTCCCTGGCAATCGCAAGGGCCTGAGTTCAAGCCCCAGTTCCACCACAAAAAAAAAGAAAGAAAGAGTATAGTCTGTGATCTCACCATGCCAAATTCACTGCATTTGAGTACATGGGGAATTTGCACTTTATAATTATCTTTAATTAGTTTTCAATGGAACTTAAGATCTAGGGATATTGTTTCAGTGGGAAAGTTCAGATTTTAGAATCAGGTCTGAGACAGTATCCAGAGATCTTATAGTTGATATGTTTTGGCTCGTTTTTTCTGCATTTTAGGGAAGGGTCTACAGTGTGTACAGAGTCTCACTGCATAGATCGGACTCACAGTGATTCTCCTGTTTACAGCTTTCCAAGTGCTGGGATTACAGGTTCACACCACCATGCCCAGTCTCAACGGCCATCTCAGGGTGCACCGGGGTGCGGGGCTGGCATGGCAGACCCAGGGATCAAACCCTAGGCCCCTGTGCCTACTTTCAGGCACTTTAATCCTTATAGGTGATATGAAGCAGAAGAACATTGCTCAAACCTCTGCATTTCACTTTTATTTATAAAATGGAGATAACGGTGCATGAAGGTCAAGTGAAATTTCATGTAGTATACCTAATACCAGAGTATATGTCAATTCTTTGCCTTTCTACTGTCCCCTCAGCAATAATAGACAAGACTTAAAGCCATCCAAAAAGCAGATCATTGCTGCCCTCCACTTGCACCCCACAACCACTTTATGGGTGATTTCTTCTCACTCAGTGGCTTCTTTCTGCTTTTAGTTGTTGACCACAAAATGAAACCACTTTGCAAGAATAGATTATTTCAAATTCTGCTGGGAATCATCGTGCCTGACATACAGGAGGAACTCAAAAATATTTACTGAATGAATACCGTCTTTTATTTCCAACCATAATTTCTTGAACCTCTAACCCTCCATTTTATTGACATAAACTCAATTTAGGTAAATCTAACAGATCACCTATCACATCAGAAAGCAGATCCACTTTTACTTATATAGACAAGTCTGAACGAAACCCTTCCCTTCACTCACAGAGAGGTGCACTTCCTCCTCGAGTTACCAATTCCCTAGGAAAAACTAGCTAGCACTTAACCCTCAGGTCCTTAGGCCTTGTTAATATGAAATTGAAATCTAACCCTGATTCCTCTCAGCTTCTGTGCAAACATCAGACTATTAAACAAAAATATACTAGGCTGCCCTTGGGAGGAAAACAGCTTCTCTGAGTTTTGAGATGAAAGGACAGGAAGCCTGAGAAAAGAAGAGGAAGGAAGGGTGAACATAAGGAGAGCAAAGCAGTTTCTAACTCAGCTGTTTCAATTGCATTTGGCCCAAGTTGCATATTTACCTTCTGAGTATGAAGGCTGAGTTCCCTCTCCAGGCTCAGATCAGAGAAATAACTTCTCCTCCCAGCTTGTCAGACAGAGATGGGAATCGCAGCTGCTCTTTGCAGTGGTGCCTGAAAACCTTACTTTACCTTTAGAGGATAGGGGCGGAGTCCAGCCTAATAGGAATTAACTCCAACCATGCTGGAGGCTTCAAACTCAGCTTCAGACATGCAGTCGCTTGAAGTAGAAACTAGCTTAGCAAGTAGTCAATTCCCACCTCCAACCTCACAATTGCTAAATCAAATGGGGGGAGCACACCCACACTTGGCTTGAATTCCATATCTGTCTCAATTCCTTACTTGCTGCCCAAATCCCTGCTGAGAAATAAATTCTATGTTTCTTCCAAAACCTTAAACAGTCTCCACCCGAGCCTGGGTAGTAGATTGACATGGCTGAAACAACTGACAGAACATACACCTGAGGAGAGCGAGACACTGTTAGATATAGGACATAGCTAAAGGAAGAGATATGATAGGCCATTTTTCATGAAAATCTTAAAATCAGTATTACCAGACACACCATAACTGTGTATGAGATAGAGCCAAAACTTTTGACATAGTAAACTGGAGAAAGAAAATTGTGATTTTTCTTCATTGCCCATTAAAATGTCTCCTTTAATTTTTTTTTCTTAAAATGAAACTGGAGTAAGACACTGATTTTCATTGTCTGATGGGAACATTGCTCTAATAGAGAAATCTTTGAGTGGAGGATAGAACACTGCTTGCATTTAAGGAAGTCCTGCAGCTGGGCATGGTACACATTCCTATAATCCCAGCATTAACAAGCTGAGACAGGAGGGTTGCCATGAATGGGAGGCCACCATGGGCTGCAGAGGGAAACAAGCCTACACTACAAAGTACACTCTGTCTCATAAAACAAAAGAAGGGGAGAAGGAGAAGGAAGAGGACAGAAAAAAGCAAGCAAGGAAGAAAATGTTAAAATTATGCTTTAAAAGTACTAAATCATGTCTTTTAAATAGTGATAGTAGTATCAAAAGTATATACTTTATCCAAAAGCATCAATTTTCTGCTTTGAAAAAAACCTGAGAGATTTGAAGATGAATGGAGCTTTAACTGATGCTTTGCTCCAAACTGATGTTATCTTTTCCAACTATGAATATCCCTGACACTCTATTCACTTCAGAAAACTTATCATTTTCTATGTTGATATTAACTTTTTGCACATGGGTCTAATTTTCTCTCCAAAATGCTGTCTAAACAAGGAACTTGCCTAAACAAATCAAAATGAGTTCAAAGGAGAAATGGTAACTAGGTTAAATTTAACATAGCATACTTGACTGATTCAAAATATCTATGCTCCTATAATGGTCCAATTGCCTTCCAAAACAGTATAATTGTTGTCAGACCCATTTTCTAGTATTTTATTCCAATAACTCAAAATATAAAAGTGAATTATCAATGTAATTCATTCATTATATCTTAATTATTTAATGAAGTTCCTAAAGTTTTTCCTTCCTGCTTTGGATATAGGCATACATCCTGTCTTTTATTACTGATAAGCCTTATTTATGCAAGCACTTGTATATCCAGCTATTTTCCATCAGCAATTTCTAACCATTTTTTTTCCTCCAATGCACTGCTAAACCACATTCCCATCTGTAATAATAGCTTACTGAGGCAGTTCCTGGCAAAGGGACACATGACTTCTTGGATGGAACGTCAGACTTTTGGGAATGTAGGCTCCCTGGATAATTTAAATCATCTCTCAGTTGTTGCCTCCTTAGATATCAGCAGTTTCAGATATAGGGCTAAATAAACAGAAAATAAGACAAAATTATCATACACTCAGTAACTGTGTCTGAGCTATAGTTAAAACTTTGACACATAAAAAATAGTTGATTCTACTATAAGCAACTTGCCTTTTGCTCAGTGGATACACCTGTCACTTTCAGAACCTGACACTATTTGGAATACACTTTTATGTCCTGCTTTTCAACATCTTCTTGCTCTTCCTCCAGTTTTCTTGGGTGGAATAATATGGACATTTAAGTATATACTGAATAATAGTACAAATTATTGAGCAAAGATTTATTTCTAATTGTGTAGTTTGTTATTTTGTCAGAAAGAAATTGCTTTCATCTTCTGACTCTTGGTATTATATCAATTAAAAGTGTGCTTCAGCCATACTTCCACAAAATCATGTGGGAAGGATTGAGAAGTAAAGACTTTTTATATTTAGAAAGTAGAATAATATATAGCATTTCTAATGATGCTAAAATAAGTATTGGCCATGGAGCATATAAATTCTGCTTTTGATTCATATGGAATAAGAGACTCTTAAGAGCCAAGATATGTGTGACAAGTGATTCTAATACATATTCCCATCCCCATCCAAAGTAGCAGCATTTTCCCAGCAAGATCAACACCCCAAAAACATTTCCCAGTCTAGACAAAAGATCAGCAATCAAGAGCTTCTACAAGCCAAAACCAGTAAGCTGTCTGTTTTTGTAGTTTTATTGGCACATAGCCACATTGTATTCATTTATGTATTTTCTATGGCTGTGTCAATGCTACAATCGCACAGATGATATCAGTAACAGAGATCTTATGGTCCACAAAACCTAAAATACTCATTACCTGACTTTTTACAGAAACGACGTTGACCTCTAACGTATTCACACCAATGGATGCTAGAAGAGATGTGATGCTAGTTGTTCAGAGGATAAAGTTAAAAGGGAAGAGAAGAAAAGTGAAATAAATAGAAATGCCATCTGCTTTCAGGTTTGTTAATGTGCCAGGAAGCCCTCATCATTTCTTCACAATCTACTGCCTGTGAGTCAACAACGTCTTAGTGTTCAGTATAAGCAAACTCTTCCATAGCTTCTGAAAATGTATTTCACTGTTAAATATCTTTTGAAACTATGTTCATGTTGTTTTACAATATATTTTATGCTAATTTTCCTTTTTAGTTAGAGCTGCTGCTTCTTTGGTAGCTGCTTTCCTATTTTCTTCATAACAGTTTTTCTTCCTATAGATGTATATTCTAGTCTTAAAAGAAGGGTACATTTATTTTTAAAGTAATTTGTACAAAAGTAGTAATCTTTGAACTTTGGGAATTTTGCCTAGAAGTGCTGAAAGATCTAAAACTATGTAGACTCCATAAACTGTCACCAATACAAGTTGAATATAAAAGATACTCCTTGCTTATACTATAGTTTTAGTTCTAGATTGAAAACTTAGAGATGAAACTTTGCATTTCTTTATTTCATAAAATCAGAACTGACCACTCTTGTTGAGTTTCCTTATTGACCTTAGAAAATAAACTGATGCTGTTAACTAGTGACATAGTATACTGGTAAATATTTAATAATGGGCTTCAGATTAGAGGAAAGGTGCAAAAGATCCCTGATTCATGGCACTTGCTGATTCTTGCAGTATAAATACTCTCATCATGACCAATTTTAAGTTACCAAATGGATGTCAATTGAAGTGGCCCTGGAAAGAGATATACAATTAACTCTAAAAAGCTAATATAAACTAACTTCACATACCATTGGAACTCAAATTCAAAAAACTATATCCATCTTCCTCCATGTAGATTTATAAGCAATATAAAATATTAATCAAAATGAGATAGCTACCATTGTTATTTAATATGTTACACATAATTTTTTTCCACAGTATACATTATGCCAGCTGACTCAGAAGCACTTCAAATATATTCTGCTAGGAACAACTTTTAAACTTTTACAGAGCAAATTTGTTATTATTCCAAAATGAACCAAAACTAAATTGTTTATAGGTCTTTTTGTCTACTTTCACAACTTTTGAAAGAGGGTCTTTTTTGGTTTATTATGACAAACATAAACCAAAAATCTTTTCTTAAACTTAATATACCAAGCTTTGATATAAATTGTACAGAGCAAATTAAACTTCATCATATGAACCCCATGATATCTTCTGTACATATATTTTATTGAAAAATAAAGTATCTTTGGAAAATTTCCATTGAGATGTTAAATAAAACAGATTTAAAAGTGCTATATGCCAGTATGGGAATCCTATGTTGATTCTTGCCTTTCTAGAAGAAGGCAACAGGTCAATAACTAACTCACTGCCATAGTTCAAATATGACCCATCCAAAATTGAAGTTTGACCAGTGTGTAGTAAGCGGTGGACCTTTTAGGAGATGATTAAGCTGTGAAGGTTTCTCCCCTTTTAAAGAGACTTAACACCCTTTTGATTTGTTTTTCCTCTGCCTTAAGCCAGGTAAGGAACCTTTCTTCCCTCTGCAGGATGCAGCAACCAGGTACTAACTTGGAAACAGAGACTAACCTTTTTTTTTTTTTTTAAACCAGGAATTGAACTCAGGCCCTTGAGCTTGCCAGGCAAGGGCTTATTCTACTGAGCTATCTCCCTGGCCCGAGACTAACCCTTTTATGATAACTAAAAGCACCTAGTACCGTGATCTTGAACTTTTCATCTTCCAGAAAAATGATAAAATATTTTTTCTTCACATAAATTACTCAGTCTTGAGGATTTTGTTACAGAAGCATAAATATACTGGAGATTTATTAATCTTTGAGTGCTGGTCCAGTGTACCAAGCTCTGGAAGCCCAGAGTAAAAAACATTGACAGGAATTCTGACCTTGTGAACTTGACATTTTATTCAGGGATTTGGAAAGGACCACACAAGCAAATATAATAATTGACAGTAAGGAACTTGGAGGGACTGAAAAAACAGTGAAATGATAGGATAATAGTGACAAGGAACATCTACTGTACATGGAGAAACAAAGAAAAGAATCTATGATGTGACATGGAGTTAAAAATTCAAAGGATGACAAGCAGATAAAAGGTAGATGAAGATAAGAATGCATATTTAGTGGTTCTGAAGATGGAGTGATCTTGGCCTTCTGAGAAATAGAAAGGCCAGTGGGGCTGAGCGTAGTGAAGCAGAGAGTGCTACCAGCTAAAACCAGAGAGATAGAAGGAAACAGATCAGGTACAGATTTTAAGATTTCCTTTGGATTGCAGTGCCAGTGTATGGGAAAACCTGCTTTGAGCTCAGTGTCACTCATATACACATACACACACACACACACACACACACACACACACACACACACGGAGATATAAGTAACTGTGGAAAAATGGAGTAGATCAAAAGCTGTTGATGCTGCTTGTCCTCAGCCTCTAGACATTTAAG